GATGTAGACCAATAAATGTTAATCCTTGGTTTAGGATTTCTGATGTAGACCTGGCTCCTGCATCCTCTTCCCATAACATGACACCAAACAAAGCCTTCGAAGTCGAATGTAGGGGGCTTAACAATTAGAATAGGGTTTTGGGATATTTTATACTGTAATAACCATAATAAGGACCCCCCCCCCAAAAAAAAAAAGAGTACATGTAACTATTAAGGCCCCTATATTACAGGGACGGCTACCTACCCATACACTCGTCAGCCCCGTCGTCATGAGTAAGGATGCCGCACATCACAGAGGGGCCTTTGACGCTGCTGAGGTACATTCCTTTATCAAGGACCTACAACCCTATAAGACCCTGATGAAGCCCTCGTAAACCCCGATAGACTTCTGCAAAACTTCTATCACGGGGGTTCAGGAGTCTACGGCTACTCTTATGGGGTTTAATACGACTCTGAATGACTATGAGGGGGAAGAGAATTGGGAGATTTTGGCTTGAAATTCCGTAAAGATCATGTATCATATGTACCTGGATACTCACGAATGCAAAAAAACACACAGAGACTCAATCCGACGCGAGGGGAGTTGACGCTAGGATTTCGTGGGTTTGGGGGGTTCAGGGTCTCACGATAGCGTAGCTCGTCCAGGAATTTATTTTGGGGTAGGGTTTTGGGTGCAGCACTTACAAGAAGTGCGGCGAGGTGAAAAAAACAAGATCCAGCTCTTTTAGCCCAACACCCAAAGAGCTTGCAAACCAGGTGCTGTGTCAAGCTCCAGTGCAGGGAGGTGGTGTACCAATACCTGGTACTCCACAGAGGTTTAGGGATTAGGGTCTAGGGTTAATTACTGACCCGGAGCCTACAGATTTCATCAATGGGCATGTTTGGGAACTTCAACCTCGTCGAGAAACTCAGAAGGATCCTCATTACCTGGTGAACGTGGCAGAAATTGGAGCTTCTTTCGTAGGAGTTGATTACAACTACGTTTTGTACAAATATCCCCCGACAGGGGAAACCGTGAACCCTACACCCCGTATCCCAATACCTCTGATAGAACCTGGTAGTATGTAGGCGGACCATTTACGAAAGAGAACTTGCCCTTCCTCAGCATGTCGGCGTTGTAGCTAGAATCTAAGGTTGAGGGCATAGGGTTTATGGTTTAGGGTTTCGGCTTTAGCGTTTAGGGCTTCGAGTGTGGAGTTTCAGGTTGACGGTATAGGGATTTAGGGATTCAAACAGGGTTTTGGGTCTAGTGATTTGTCGGGCGTGAACAGCTTGAGGCTTAGTTACAGGCTCAGGGGCATTTTGCTTCAAGAGTAACGAAGCCGGAAGTCTGCTGCTTGAATCAATCGCTGGACACCCCTGCAACACCCCTGCAACACCCAGGCCCCTTGAACGGGAATCCCTAAAACACCGAAAAATAGCTCTGTTTTGCAGCTCAGACTATATTCTTGGTCGCTACACGGTTCGTGTCCAACAACACTTTGCCAGGTTGACATCTGCACATGGCCCCTAAATAATAAGGGTACCCTCTTTTCTACTCTTTGGTTTTGTTAAGGGAACCTCAGACAGGAAAAAGCGCAAAACGGGTACTACTGGCAAACCTAGAAGAGCGCGAATGGTTCCTCTGTGCGAGTTGAGGCCAGTCTTGGGGCGATGCGCCAGAACACCCTGTACTCCCTGAACAGCCTCCGCTGAGCCTCTACAGACCTCTACAAAGTCCCTGGGGCTCTGCATACACCCGCAACCCTGAAGCCTGAAACCCAATAGACCGAAGCTGTTGCCAAGGCGCAGCTTATCCTCGCCGAGCATGTTGCCATTGGGCGTGTCTGTTAGCCAACTGCGCTCCAGGCCTGCGCAAGCCGATTCCGAATCCATAGCCTTTGAATACTCCCAAACTACTGTTGATGATATAAATCCTGCATTACCTTAAGGACCCTAAAGTATGGGAATGGTGGTATATTCCTTAATATGAGTAATGCAGGATTTATATCATCAACCGTACCAACCTAGGCCCTAAACCCTACCCTGCAAGCCAAACTACTTGAAGCCCTAAAGCAGTGAAGCGCTTCAGTCGCGGTGTTCTGTTTAGGCGGGGTGTGCATTGGTGGCAAAACGACACAACCAACCCCTCTAAGACTTTAAACTCAAACAGCCTTAAAGATTCAATCAATCTGAAAGCCACTGGAAAACATCGCATGCAGTCTCCCGTCAAGTGATATGCTTTCTCTCACATCAATTGTTACACTTTCGGTTCGGATCTTCAATATGGATGCTGTTTAGGGCTGGTTACAAACTGAGGTTGCCAGCACCATGTTCGGCAACGTGGGAAAGCATGGTTCCTTCAGCGACCCACGAGAGATTGCTGGTGGCTTATATCAGACAGATCAAACAAAACCGAGGATCAACTATCGGCAAGCCCTCTATAATGCAAGTCTCTTTCCCGACTCATGGTAGCCCATCTACCGTTTCTGCTGTGACGTTCGGGGTTTAGGGTGGGTCTGGAGTCTAGGCAGGATTGAGAATTATCGTGTGCTCTGCCACGCCTGTGTCGTGAGACATTTTTCCGGTGAGGAACCAGCAGCAAGCGATCACGTGGTTCAGGACGATGATGAAAACCACCTGGGGGACTGGCCTAGACCACCATGGATTCTGTTTCTGTTTCTGTGTTGCTAGAAACTTAAAAGGAGCCCTGGCCTACATCCAACACGTAAATACAGGGGCCTCACTAACTAGAACATGGTAGTGGGGTATATACTCTTAGTCTACTTGTGTAGGGGCTTGGCATAGATAGCCTTGCTTGCTTCGACCTGTATAGCGCCTTGCGGGAAGCCCATGTGGCGAAAAAACGACAAACTGCTTGACAAGGGCGAAGCCCGTATGGTGACCACCCGACCAAACCGCTTAAGAACCTGGTCACGCACACACACACACACAAACAAACACACACACACACACACACGCGAAACTCCTAAACCCTAAAACCTAAACCAAACTTCGGAGCTGCAGAAGAGTGATTGACCAAGAACGCCCAGTTGCGCATCGACGCGAGTTACAATAAGCTAAATGTGGATGTAGAGCCCGGGATTCTCAAGTAGGCTCCTTCCCGAAAACCTTGGCCCTAAACTCCAAGCCCTGAGCCCTAAACCTTAAAATCCAAAGCCTAAACCCCAAAACCTGAACCCTAAAAACATGCCATGAGCCAGGATGCGAGCCGGAGCATGCCGATCATAATGAAAGCATACTCGCCTGGTGCATGATGCTTTGTTTTAGGGTTTTCGGGCTCAGGGATTTAGCACTCCAGGGTTTAGCTGTTTTAAGGATTTAGGGTTGGGGACAAGGCAGAGCGATCGAACGTTGGTTCCACATTCGCTTCGAAATTTGAAGTGAGAATTCGGGCTAGGCCTTTCCGGGCTGTTGAGCTCATCTAGAAAATCGCGCCTTCCCATTAGCTTACGGGAACTCCAAATTCGGAATTGTCGATCTACCTACAGAGATGCAGAAGTCCCTGTGCCCGATCGGCTTTCCGGCATAAGTAGGATAAGAGTGCGCTGCTTCATCTGAAAAGGTCAAGCTTTGCAGCCTTCGGAGTTCAAGCGTGTAATTGTGGGATAAAGAGTCGCGGATAAGAGGGCTTTGGGCCACGCATATGTAATGTGTATGTGCATATGTGTGTGTGTGAATAAACAAATAAACAAATGAACAAAAATGAATAAATACATACATACATAAACAAACCAACAAATAAAAATATGTATATATATATACACACACGTACTTATAGATTGAATGTTATGTGCATATATGTAATTATGCATGCACACATGTGTGCAGCAATGCATTACTTGCATTACTTGCATTACATACATACATACATACATACATACATACATACATGCGTACATACATACATACATACATACATACATACATAGATACGTACATTCTTACATACATACATACATACATACATACATACATACATACATACATCCTAGAGGATCTTTCGTAATGGAAAAAAGTATAACGAAATAAAACTATGCGATCTGTAGCAAAAGTAGGCGGATTTAGAAAAGCATGCGGTTTAGGAAAAAAGTGTTCGATTTATTTTGGTGACATCACATTATGGCTTTGCTGACTATATGATACTCATCTATAGGATCATGTACATCTAATGTGTCGGGTTTAGGGTTTGGGGTTCATAGTGGGATAAAACTCGTACATGTAACAAGTGGAGCACATACCCTCATACCTCCAGCCAAGTCATGATTGGGGGACTAAATTAAGCTTCTAGTTCTGGCGATATGGCAAATATCACCCATCCTGGTGAAGATTTTAGCGGGCGAGCCTGAAATAGAATTGCCCTTGTATATCCTTGCATAATTCCGATCTAATCCCACTATATGAGGGCTTCCGAACCCCATCTACAAACCTAGCTAGGTTTAGGGTTTAGCTAGGGTTTAGGGTTTAGCTAGGATTTAGGGTTTAGGGTTCAAACCCCTTCGGGTTGTGCACCGACATGCAGCGCACGACACATCTTTCCTCGGCGACATCGATCGAAGATGCCTGGAGCTCAGCTGAGAAACCTTTGCCATTGGCGCTTATACTGAGCCAGCGAACGGGCTATAGTACGGTGAACGACTAGAAACGGGTGACAACGTCGGCTAACTCTGCTGATTCTTCCGATCCAGTCTTCGTCGGTCCAGCAAGCCCAGCCTAAGTTTACAGGCATGCTTCTGATGCATGATAGCTGGATGCTTGTGATGCTCGTCGTGGTACTACTAGACTTGCCAGGACACTCATAGTATTGAAGACGAAATCGCAGCCACTGTCGATGGCCCACTGTAATTCCAGACTTAGCTGGGGTGCCCAAGCAAGCCACAATCAGAACTCGGGCTTAAGGGCTTCGGGGTTTAGGGGTTTCAGGGATATATACAGGGCTAGGGCTGTACGGCTGTAGCAGGGGCTTAGAGAATTTGGGTTTATATAAAGCGTACTGCAGTACTACCCGTACCGTTCGAGGCCCACAAACCTTAGTGCTTCAAGGACACACAAGATGGGCATGGAGGTGTAGCTTTGGCCGTAATTTGAACAAGCACCATTGGCGCCCCGCCGCTAACCGTGCCAAGTGGTGGTAGCCTTCCTGGTCGAGAAACAAGAGCTCGTATTTGTGCGTGTCATTGCATGAAAAGGGCCCTGCTAATTCGTGCTTAAGCCAGGAATCGAACATTTTCCACCCACACTCCACAGCAGTGGCAGCATCAGCCCGGGTGATGAAAACTCCTCCCCGGTAGAGGACTCGGAAGTGAGTTCCGACAGCAATCAAGGTCCACCGAAATAGCTTGAAGATGTCGTGGTGCTGGGGTGCCTCACATATCTATGCAACTTACAAGGATTGCTGAATTGTGTCTTAATACGAACAATGCATTTCGAGCTACAATTGTAGCAATGTCGGTTTCAAGATACAGGGCCTCCAGCCATCCCAGCATTGTGGAGCAATCGTGGCCCTTTCCAGGCCCCTTGGGAAATTGGTTCAACCTGGGAACAAAAAAAAATATTCTCAATAGATTTCGGCTTTGGCTTTGCGGGATAGAGGAAATAAGCTGGCTCAATATCTGCCGGGGCACGAGTCGATTTTCATTCCATGCAAACTAAACTCAGTTATGGATGTAGTTTTTCCCATAGATCGGCAGTGATCACGGAACAGTTCGAAAGCACGGTCCAAACATTCCTGAATGGTGGCTTCCTTGAAGAAACCAAGACGAAGTGAAAGCAGTAGTCCTCCAGAACAAAGGTCTTTACCCCAACCCGATATTGCATAGCAGTGCGCTGGATCCGGTTTGATTCGCCGGGGGTTGCTCCCGACGTTTGTCAAGTCACGGAAAGGCCTGGTGGTCGGCAGAAACGGATCAGGGATCGGATCGTCTGGTTGTAGACGACGCACTTGGCTGTCGTTGGACAAGTCGAACCATTCCTAGGCTAGAGGATTGCACTGGCTTGTACATTGGCTAGTCATCTTGTCGAAAAACCCTAAACCCTAAACCCTAAACCCTAACCCTAAACCCCTAAATTAATTGATATCAAGTTTCATCTGCTCGGCACAAGTGGCAGATTCGTTTGCTGGTGAAACCAGTTTGTAAATGGCAACTCTTGCGTAGAAATGGCCAATCGCCCTTGATGCCGCATGTCACAAGATGTATGCAAACTTTTGTGCGGCCAACAGCAACCTCAACTTGCAAGCTGAGAAACCCATAGGTACCAATATACCTAGATAAGATTTAAATTCTAAACTCAGCATAATATATGCTATATAGGCAAACAACTTCGAGGCCTTCGGTACACAGCTTTTCCAGATCATCTGCCAGCCCTTCCAGAAGTGTATCCAGCGTACTCACAGCATACATTTCGCTCGGCACAACCGTGTACAGGAAGCGGCTGCAATAGCTGTGCCTAATATTTACAGAGCACTCGACCAAAGCCACCCAAGCCCTAACCCACTAGCCGGCAGCTAGCTAAACATGAAGATCGTATTCCTAAATGCAGCTTTGGGCCCTGATGTGTTTGTAACTGCAGGTCCAAGGTAGGATATCAGTGGTTGCCAACCAACACACATGATAGGGTGCTTGTTCTTCCCTCGCCCCTCGTCCCCATGCAGAGCTATTGGTATCGATACCTTTGGATCAGCAACCTGAGCCTCAGGTTGGGAGGCTTGGAACTTGGACCAAAAGTCCTGGAGCATTGCTTGCCAGTCTGGCACCGAGCTGATGTTAAAGCCACCCAGAATAGCTTCGCTGCAATGTTCCAACATATACCGTAACCATACTGAAGGATAAAGAACTGGATAATCCATCGTCTCAACCTTCGGTTTTCCTTTCAGCAAGCGTACTTTCACAGGAAGCAGGGTTACCTGGATTGGCAGCACTCGCTGCTCGCGGTACATCAGCTTATGAAGGTTGCGGCTGCAGTTGGCTTGGGATCTTCCCCCTGTACCACAAGCAGCAAGCTTGCTCAACCCATAGTCACTGATGCCTCGGATCCAGCTGAGTAGCTCTTCTACTTGGGGAGGTTCGTATACTGTAAGGATTCCAGACCACAGGCAAATGTAGAAAAGAGCCTAACCTATATCCCAAACCTAATGAAGACCCAACCCTGAAATTCTACTCAACCTGTAACTCGAGTTACAGCTGCAGCAGAAAGGGTTATCGGTCAGAGAAATTGAGGCCATATATTATAACAGGCCCCGAATAAGCACCAGAGACAAAGCCGACTAGCCACCATGTTTCTTCAATTTTCGAGCAGCCACTTGGGCAACACGAACCATTCGCTTGGCACTGTCTACCTGGGAACACGAGCTCGAGTAACAGTTTCCGGAAACCCGATAGATCACCCGGATTTTAGCCCAGACACCCCTTGCTCGAAGCCGTAGAAGAGCTCATCCACCAGGTCGGCGTCGGAGTCGGTGTCATCATTTCCTGCAGAGGAGCACTCATATCCGAAGGGTATTGGGTTTAGGGCTCTTGAGGGCTTCAGTTTATAAGATACTGCATAGGCTTCCGGGTAGAATCTTAATCGTACATTTATATGGCTACCAAACTGTCCTTCTGCTGCTGGTTGCACATCAGTGCCACGTTCCAGCAGACCTGCGTGGGGCAAGCTGCAGCAATCTACATCGTGCAGATCTATACTAGGCTTGCGGTCAGCAAGGTTTCGGATAGGATATTTTGCGCACTCGAGCTGATCCCCTGTGCTCGAAAGAACTGACGAATTGCACACAATTGGCGCTGCTACCGAGGCAAAATGCACAGCAACGACAGCTCATCTATAGATTGGGTACCTACATCAGGCCCGGGTATCCTAGCTAGGAGTATCTGCTTCTGATCGTTGCACGACAGCCTCAGCTTTAGGCACAGGGATTGCAAACACACAGGTGAGAGCTGCAGCACTTTAAGCGCGGCCATTCTTGCCACCTTTGCGGGTCTTGCCCGAACCCTTTTTTGGGCTCTTGCTCTTGCCACCCTTCTTCGGCGGCGCTTTCCCTCCCGTAGATCCAGCCACTGATCTGGCACCCTTGATGCTCCTAGGCTTAAGCAGCACGAACCCGTATTGAATGCATTGCGGAATACGATCAATGCAGCTAAGTTTCCTGGCCCTCACCACCAGGTTATTCATTACAAGGTCCTGCTTTGTAATGTTGGCATAGAGCTTCAGCAAGGCATCATTGAAGGGCCTGGGCTCAGAGTCTCAGAGTGGTGGCATTCCTGGGCTATACATGCATATTCGGGAAGTTATAGGTGAACTGAGATACAGGCTTGTCGGGATGCTTGTTGATGGCGTCGGCCTGCTTGTTCTGCAGCTCCTTGTAGTAGGACTTCAGGGCCTTGAGGGACTCTGACATCTCCTGCTTAAGCCTTGGATGGAAAAGCAGAAAGAGTATATACTACAGTAGACGATTATGACTGCATCCATATATGCATGTCTAGATCGACAACAGGAGCCCACTGGCTCTGGCACCGGCAGCAGGCTGCAACTTTTCCTGCGGATGCAGTGTTCTAGTAGGGTCGATGATTATTAATGAGGAAAGGCCGGGGGTTCAAATAGCTAGTGTATAGTCGGTGGTACACAATTGAGGATGTATAGGGTCCGGCTAGGGCATTTCCGTCACACTGGTCCTGCACATCCTCACTGCAATCGATCTTGCGTCCAAGTACTTCTAGATACCCTGCCAAAATGCTGAGTGGGGACGAGCTCTGCTGCAGCGAGGGAAACGTGATCCTTAATGGGCAATGCAACTGTAGCTAAAGAGGCACAGCATTCATACAATTATGCAAGATCATGCAACCAAAACACTTGAGGCTGGCAGCAGTACTGAAGGACTCAAGGGCCGGCCCTGCCCCAGAATCGGCACCACCGCTTCCGGAGGACGAGGCTAGCTTGCCGGCGAAGATATCGGCGTGGGAGGCCTTGATCGAAGGTAGTTCGTCGGCCAGGAGAAACCCACTGTCGTCCTGGGTTGATTTTTCGGGTTGATTTTTCGGAAGAGGAGCATTTGATTGCCCGAGTCCAAATAAAGTTTCGGATCAAGGTTCGAGCTGGAGTGTCGGCTGGTAAGGGTTTGTAGAATATGCTTGCAGCTCTATATTTTGTAGGGTTTAAGGGTGGAGATAGGGATAGGGATGCAGGGTTTTCATGGACGAAATACCCCTAATACCCCTATGTAATCTCGATCACATGTATACAGCTGCGACCGTACAATGTGCATATGCCGAGGGTTTGGGTGCCTGGGCATCAGCTTAAAGCAGCGCGGTTTTGGGTTTTGGGTTTAGGGTTTAGGCCTAGGGTTTAAGGATTTAGGGTTTTAGGGTTTTTTTCCTCAACACTCTCGAGACAAGATACTTCCATCTCGATGGTTCCCGCCATACTCAACTCCTGCCCTTCCTGGTCGAGGAGTTCGTAGGAGTCCGACAGGACAAGGAGAGCTTCTTCCTCCCCATGAATCTCATTCTTTCTCAAGCAGTTGTTCTTGTGAGCCCACTGCCAAGCTTTCTCCACCATGGGCCTTGCGTTCAGTTGCTCCCTTCCCAACCATGAACGATAGCTAGCAGTCGACATTATCATCCGATCGCCCTAGATCAACTAAGTCATTGACTTTGTCCAGTGGCAGTTGTTTGTGAGGTAAGCCTTCGTGTAGTAGCCACCGTGCTTGGCCAAAGTTTTCTTCTTCAGGTGAAACTTCTTGATGGAGAGCTCTAGCCCTTTAAAGGAACCGTGTTTCTGCAGGAGCGCCCGTAGCTGTTCTCCTAAGGCATCATTCGATCTCCGTACATCATGTCTGCTGGCAAAGCTATAAGTCGTATCATGCCACCACGGAGCGACCACCCTCGGTTTTATACATGGCAAGGGCAGCAGGGCTGCACTTCAGTGCCCCGCATGCCTTCGGTTCGAAATATCGTCGCATCCTGTGACAGAGCTTATTCAGCTAAGCTTTGGGTTTAGGGGTTTAGGGGTTCCGGGGTTTAGGGGTTTAGGGGTGTAGGGGTTTAGGGGTTTAGGGGTTTGGGGGTTTAGGCATTTGGGTGTTTAGGGGTTTAGGGTTTAGGGGTTTAGGATTTAGCTACCTAGGGTTTAGGGGCGGGGTTGGGGTTAGAGGTCTAGGGCTTTGGGTTTAGGGCCGCCCAACCTATGTGTTAACACAGTCGAACCCCACGCAACTCAACTCCTCCAGTAGCTGGGGCTCTTGGACCTCTTGGACTTTGGAACCGGTGGAGGGGGCATCTCACTGGCACTGGGTCCAGGGCTTGACAAGTTTCCACTTCGGGTCCTTTGGGTGGGACCAGCACCAGGAACTGGTGAGGCTTCGGGGGAGCTGGCATCGGGCTTGGGGGTCCCACATCAATAGCAGTAGCAGCCGGCTTCTTGGTTGGGGTGTTCCGGGGCAACTCTGATAGTTTGGGGACCCTGCGCTGTGCATCCTCAACAGCACTATCGTAGCTGTCTAAGCTTTCGGCACTGGGCAGGTTGCGGGCCAGGGCTTCTGGTGCAGCCGCCAAAGGGACGGCGTGGTTCCCAGCCAGCTCGAAGGTCGAGGCTTTTCTTGCAATCGCGGGACCTCGGCTAATGTATATAATGCAGGCACAGGCACACACATAAACATGCATGCATATACATGCACGTACACGTACACATACGTGTCCACTCTCCCTTGCCTGGAGCCGGAGCAACATCAGAAGGTGCCACAGGTTTGGCTTCCCGTCCTGCTAGTTTGCTCTGCAGCTCATTGATGCGAGCTCTTGCAGCCTCAGCTAAGCGTGCATATATATATAATAGAACATGCATGCATAATACACTGTGCACGTACACATGACCCGAGTGGTATATGATTCAGGCAGGAGGCAGCAATCATTGCTTGAACATCTTGCTTAGCCGTCGGAGCCGCCATGGTATGACGTGTCAACAGAGGAACCCCTTCGATCAGAGTGTTGCACGAACCTTGTCGCGCGTTCATATCCCTCAGCCCCACAAAAGATCTTGATACACAAAGGCAGACGAACAGGATTGCTTGCAAAGGCCTGCACAACCTCACTTCCAATCCTACTTGCCCTGTATACATGCAGCCGGAGTAGATGGTATCACACCATATGAAACTTGTTTCGGCTGAAGCATCCCCAGAGCAGCTGGTACCGGTCCAGTTCCTGGCCATCTGTACACCCAGACCTGTGAGACCGCCTCCGAATTTGCGTTTTTCGAGGGTTTTCGGAGATTGCAAATGGTTTAAGCAGGTTTTAGGGTTTGGGTTTGTAATGGTTTTTGGGTTTGCGCACGGTTGCGGGAATTTGCGCACGGGTAGCGGTTTTTTGCGCACGGATTGCGGGTAAATCTGTTCGAGCATTTTGGCTAAAATAGCATTCTAGAGCCAAAAGCCACAAAAACCGTTTCTAAGCCCCACTGACCCTCTAAATAGATCTGGGCCCCCTGGGTTGCCTCCTAAGTTGAGCCTCAGAGCCCCGACCCGGTCCCCTGGGTTGCCTTCTAAGTTGAGCCTCAGAGCCCCGACTCCAGGTCCCCTGGGTTGAGCCTCAGAGCCCCGACCCCAGCAAAGCCCCCTCCTAGCCTTCTAATTTATGCAGACCCACAGCAGCCACCCAGGGAGCCAAAGATGCCCTCAGAGCGTGGAGGAGGCCACAGCCAAAGCATCTCGAAGCTCAGTGCTGCCACAAGCCTTGGGCTTTGCAGGGTCTAGGGTGCGGGGTCTAGGGTCGACGGGTCTAGGGGTCTGGGGGTCCAGGGGTCTGGGTTTGGGGTCTACTGGGGAGTTTAGGGATTTTGGGGTCTCGGTTGAAGATTTAGGGATTTAGGGGTTCAGGAGCTTCGGGGCTGGAAGTTTAAGGGTGCGTGGGGTTTAGGGTTTTAGGTTCTCTGTAGGTGCGGGACAGTTTAAGGGCCCGGGCCGATTTCATGACTTTAGCCTTCATGGTTCCGATGCTTTCTTGGGTTTGGCTGTTTGGGGTTTGGCTGTTTGGGAACTATATAACACCGACCTTCGGAAGGAGACCAATTAAAAAAAAAACAATGGGATTATATTGGCCAGGAGAACGAGCGAGAGAGGTGAGAGAGGGGATCCCCAAACTCCGGAAATTGACAACCACAGCTACTATATTAATCGATATATAATTCCAGACTTCTAGAAGTTCCTTAAGCACCCCAACCCGAAGCCACTTGAAACTTAAGTACTTTCCCTGCACCCTGAGTTTTTAATCCACGAGACCCATCCTGGGACAATCACGGCTTATGTTGCTAATGTCGTATATTGTACACTAGGGCATGCAGTATGAATTGCATTCAGACGAGTATCTCGCAATGCTTTGAATTGACCAAGTACAAGAACACCTCGTGAACCTTGCTATCGATCCAAAGGTCAGTTAGAGGAAGCGATAGGAAAATTTCTTTGTCACTTTGTGAAAGGTCCACCGTGGCTCGGCCACGAGCATCCGCTCGTTCGGTGGAAGGCAATCGTCGCCATTGGTTGTAAGCCTTGAGGATGTTCTTTCCAAAGGTTGTCGTGTAGACCCTGCAGCTAGCTTAATGATCAGGCTTGCAAAAGATTGAAGAGGGCCGGGGCTGGGTTCATGGCTTGTATTACATATATCTATACAGAGCTTCTTGATTAAGCTTCGGGAGTAAGGGCTTATGGTTTATGTTTAGGCAAGAGTCCCACTCTTCTGCAGGGCTTCCTTGTCTCCACGAAACCTGGCAACCCCCCGCTTGTCGATGAAGCGGCCTGAGCAGCAAATCTTGTTGGCATGGTGTTGGGGATTGGGCCGGTTTATGGGCACAAGACCTAATGTAGTTTATAAGCTAAGAACCGAACAGTAGCCAGCGAAGTTCTGCGCTCTCGTTCTGCTCTAGACAGACGTCCCAGGTCCAGGGAGGAAATGGTTCCCATAGAAGAAAACAGCACAGTTCGCTTTGCAGGGGGGGCATCATGTAAAGCCATCCACAATGATTGCGTGTAGACCTGGCAACTGGCTGCATACCGACATCTAGCTGATCCAAACGACACATGAATTAGCACATGCATCTGTAGATGTATACGACACATTGCAGGCATGTGTTGGGGTGTGGGCCGGGAGAGTCTAGGCAACATGCATGTTTGTGCTTGTGTGTGTGTGCACGTGGTAGTGCGTCTCTGTCTGTGTGTGTGTGTGTGCATGTTTGTGTGTGTGTGTGGTGTGTGTGTGTGTTTTTGTGTGTGGTGCGGGCACAGGGGGTTCGTTGTGTGGGGGTGTACGGTTGTGTGTGGGAGTCTGCTAGGGGCCCGGTATGTGAGTATGTGCTGGCCTTTGCAATCCGGTTGCAAAACCAATCCCAGCGATGGTAGCTTGCCAACAAACTACCGGCTGGTTGTTCCAACAACCATGCTCCATTCTTGCACATCACCAGAAGCATGAGGAGCACACACCTTAGGTGCCCACAATTACCGGCCTCCGTGCATAATTGCGGCAAACACATAATTGCAGCTGATGCTCCGGGAAACTGTGCAGTTATTATCAGCTACCCAGGGTAGAGCCTCCCTTCCGGAAGGGCTGATCACCGATCTCATAGAAGTTCCTCGAGCAGTCACAGTCCAACTGCCACAGTCGGGAGCAAAGAGGTTCAAAGCATCTGGAAGCTCACACAGGATGACATACATCGCCAGCCTCAGATGAATCATACCTACAGTTTCTAGCAGACAAGTACATGTGCACATGAATGTGATTGTCGTACACAGCCAAAAAGCGAAAAGCCACCGGAGGACAGTATGTCCATGGATCGTCCATAGAGGCGATCGAAGGATGCAACGTTGAAGCCCTCTTCATGCCTGATATGCAGTGCATGCTACACATTTCAAAACCCTCTAAAAATTAAGCTAGACACAGGCATGATATATACAGTCTAGCAGCCAGACTTTTGACACCATCCCAGCACCCGAGAAAACTTCGAAGAAGTTGTAGCGATCACCAAAATCTAGATTTTGCATCCACCGGAGGCAGAGCACCTCAAGCTGCATGTCGTTAAGTTTCCACATGCACATGCCCGCACAAGCTTGAATTGAAGCAATAGCAACCGGGAGCCCAAGCCGTAGCGATGAAGACCTATAGACAGGACAACAAAGGTTCACAAACAGCTGGAGGTGTGAAGGCAGGCAATGTGCGACATTTGCAATCCAGCCACCTTTGGTGCATGCAGTTGTGCCAAGTTGACAACCAGGGAGCTGCCATCACATGTAGACATGTCTCGTGTGCTTAAAGAAACATGCACACTGCTTGTCCTTGAGCAGAACTGGCAATTAGATCTACGGTGGTTCGCCCCACAACATTGCAAGCATGTGCCTGCTCGTGATGACAACTGCAAGCAAACAGGAGCAGGGAGGGTGCACCATTGATGGAAGCTCGGACCGCCCATGCTTCCGGCATCGTAGTCCTGCCGAACAGACAAAATATAGAAGAATGCTCATGATGCACAGATAGTTGTCTGATGTCGGACCCTGTGCAAATGCTGGCCTGCACTGCATGTTCATGCACAGAAGCACCCACACCGTGTCTTTTGAAGCCGGCGCTGAAGCTCAATGTGCATGGCCGAATGTGATCTCGAGAGACCCCGCCGAGTGAACAAGCACTATGCCTGTTGCACAGCATAAATAAATATGCCAGCCCCATGCAGCATGATATGAGGGCCTTGCCTCGCACACTGCAAACCCAGAAACCTAGTTGAAACAAACCTAGCTGAAACACTTTGCAGAGTCACTGCACGATCATAGCTCCAGGTCGATCGGTCGATCTAGTCTGCCTTTGCATAAGCCTGGGATACATATGGAATAGCCAGCCACATCCATGCATGATGAAACACACGATCGCACATGTACACACATATACAAGAAATACCTTGCATGTGTTAGTGCATACTCAGAAACAATCTTTCCCATTGCCTTTGCATCCTCCTCCGATTTTCCTTCAGCCTTGGCCTCTTTCACAGCCCGGTGGTAAGCTACGGATTTCCTTGACAATCGGGCTTTGCGTGCAGCCTCATCGGACTGCTCGGCCTCAGCTGTTGTTGCTGCTTTCGGCTTACCCTTGGCCCCTGCTTTTGCTTTTGCTGCTGCTTTCGGCTTACCCTTGGCCCCTGCTTTTGCTTTTGCTGCTGCTTTCGGCTTACTCTTGGCCCCTGCTTTTGCTTTTGCTGCTGCTTTAGGCTTACCCTTGGCCCCTGCTTTGGCCTTGGGCGATGCTTTGGACTTGCCTGCTGCTTTGGGCTTTGGTGCGGGCTCGACACCCTCATCAGAGCTGGGACTGCGCTTGCGCTTGTTGTCCTTCGCCCGCCTTGTCCTCTTCAGCGGGTGGTCTTTGGGCGGGGCAGGGTGGGAATCATCTCGGCTTCTCTTGGGTGCTGGCTTCGCCTTCGGTGCAGGTGGCTCCTCCTTCTCTGCTGGCTCCTCCTCACTGGGCTCTGGCTCAGTGGCAGTGATCTGGTCCTCCTGGGGGGCCTCGTCTGGGGCCTCATCCTCTGCTTTTGTTGATGGGCCCCTTCCTCGGCCCCTTCCTGATCGGCCCCTTCCTCGTCCACCTCCACCCGAACGGCCCCGGCCTGATCCCTTACCCCGCCCTCCTTTGTTGTTCGTTTTCTTCGTCCTTGAAAGTTCCACTTGTTCAGCTGGCGACATAGCCTTGGGCAGGCCATCGGTAATGACAGGGCAGGGAGGGAGCACTTCATCAGCATCATAATGCACCGTAGCCTTGCCCGGAGTGTCTGTGGATGCTGGCTCCTTCCTTTCCTCCTCCTTGGTAGGACTGGCATTGCCATCCAGCAGCGGCTCCGGCTCCTTTCCATCACCCACACAATCATCCTCCTGAAGCTCCTCATCTGCTCTTAGAACAACACCGGAAGGGGACTCAGAACCTTCCTCCTCTTCCTCCTCCTCTTCCTCCTGCTCCTCGCAATTCTCTTCATCATCACTAGCCAATGGTACAGCCCGTGCCAACTTGGCTGCAATTGGAACAGCAGCTTCCGGCAACTGCTTTGCATCCGAAGCATCTGAAGCATCGAGTTTCGGGATCTCGCCAAAAATGTGCTGGGTCTCGGCATCGTGCGGGCCTCGGCCAACCGGTTGCTCGAATCTGCTTGACATACTAGTACACCAACGGAACAAAACTTTGCAATCAAGGAACTTATTGAAACATCGGGTGCACGAGCAGAGTTCTCGATGAGGTTCGTTGCAATGTTTTCTGCTGAAGCAAAAGACACAAGCTTGTCACCTGATGGCTCGCCTGTTGCTACACTGCTTTCTGCCAGCTTGGCTTCCTCACAATCCCTGACCTTGGCTTCAGCTTCCGATTCTGACAATGCAACTGCAAGTTGCATGGCCTCGCGCTCTTCAAGATCCTGTACCAGCAACAGGGCTTCTTGATCATGGAGTTCCTGGAGCTCCAGAAGCAAGCTCAGTTGCTGTTCCTGTTCTTCCAACTCTACAAGCTGTGCTCGCAGAGCCTGTGCTTCGGCTGCTTGCTTGTGTTGCTCCGAAGTTTCCTGCGGGGTTTTGAGTTCACTTTGCACTTCCGAAATCTCAGGCAATGGGAAACAAGCTTTGCTTCTGATTGCAGCAGTCTCCATACCATGATTCCCACACAAAGTGCACAAATAGCCCCATCTTCTGTCTTTCACCAAGTAGTGCTGCTTCTTTTTCTTGGCCTCGCTTCTAGGGCTGAGTGGCATGGGTCCTGGGCTGAAGCATGCATACATACGTACAAATATAATCCCACCATGCTGCACATGCCCACTACAAGCCACGTTACGTGGAGGCGGCGTGATGATTGGATCCGACGACGACGAGGAAGCTCCAGAGCCTGGTAAGAAGTGGTGATTGGGGCTTATTGAAAGGGGCCAGGGTATAGATATTGTTGCAAACAAGGGGCTGAGACCTGGCAGCTCCAGCTTCCGGATCGGGGAATCCTAGGCTCGGGTCCTACATTGAGGGATGGTTTAAAGTTTAAGCCTAGGGTTCAGGGTTTCGGGTGTTGTGCCATTTAAGCAAAGAAGCAGCAGTCTCCGGGGCCAATGGGTCCTTTTTCTCATCCCCATCCACCTCAATCTCAGCATCATCCTCAATCTCCTGTTCACTTTCACCACCCTCCTCCATGTCCACACCCTCGTCCTCGGACTCTCCCGAGCGAACAGAGCCACCTGGGTCGAGTTTCGGTTTATTTTAGGATTTGGGTTTGGCCTGAAGGATCCGATTATTTTGAAGATCAGATTGCTGCAGGTAGGGCACAGTTGGAGGGCAAAGGAATGCCACTTTTCTTGAAAAGCCGTTGCACACCTTCCTGTCTGGGCCTGTGGGGGCGTTTTGCGCACTGACTGAAGCATGTTATCAAGCGTCTCGCCATCCATGCTTGAGTCTGGATCTCGTGGCCTTAGGGAAGCTACTAGCAGTGTGATAGCACAGCATGAATATCCCTAGCTTGCAAACACGAGATGCATACGATTAACACCGAGAAGCTCGTAGGCATGCGCAAGTGCATCGGTCGACTGTTCATGTAAAAACGTCTGAAGTACTCGGCAATCATGTGCACGGAGGGGCGGAGACCTGGGCCAAAAGAATTGGATATGATTAGGCTCGTACAGGGCTACTCAGAAAGTTATGGCTACCGAGGAGCCAAGATTTTCAAGGATGGGGGCCAGCAGGTCGACATTCTCCCCCAAATGTTCCCGCTTTATCTTCAGACAGCCGTTCGGTAGATTGACTAGCATGCCTTGCAACAGCCTTTGCATGACAACATTGCTTGCTTGCCATGCCATCAGCACTGGACAGTCCACAACATGAGACTGCTGTTCCGTCTCAGGAGCTTTGGCCATGGCAACAGCTCAGCTAAACCGATCTGATCGACCTAGCAGACAGAACAAATGACAGCCCAGAAGAATGAGGCTCCAAGTTCCCCTAGCCTGCAGCTATATAGCTAGATGCATGAGGTAAAGCCTGCATAGACCACCTCTCGGTCGTACAACGATGAATGCAGTGACTGTGCTTGAGCAATATGCATTGCAATAGGTGCTCGATCAAGACCAAGACTACCAGCCGTCTTAATGCCCAATCTTTCGGTCCTGTCAGCTGTTCGAAGAGTTGCGTGCCATCGCAAGTACCTGTAGAATCAGCCAAGGACCGGCTTCGATTACGTCTACTTCCTGCACTAGATCAAGAATGTCATCCTGCGCACACAACATACATAAAGGGCGCACGGTGGGAGGCAGGCTTCAGGAGCTACGAACGGCCCAGAACGAGCCAGCTTTGATAAGTCAGACGTCAGATCACAGAAAATCCCCTATGAACACTTCACAAATGCCCAAAACAGAAAAGTATACGAATCCCAGGAAAAGTGCACGAACCTAAAATTGTCTACGGATTACAGCAAAACCATAACAAACTAGGGGGGACGGAAATAAGTATGACAAAAGATTCTCCAGGATACATACATACATACATACATACATACATACATACAATCATGCATGCCTGCATGCATGCATGCATACATACAGACAAACATGCATGCATGCATCCATTGCATACGTTGCATGCATACATACATACATATACACACATACATATGTACATACATACATACATACATACATACATACATACATACATGCATGCATGCATGCATGCAGAAATGCATGCATGCATGCATCCATTGCATACATTGCATGCATGCATGCATGCATGCATCCATTGCATACATTGCATGCATACAAACATACATACATACATACATGCATGCATACATACCTACATACCTGCAAACATACATGCATACATGCATGCATCCATCCGTACATACATACATACATACATACATACAATCATGCATGCATGCATGCATGCATGCATGCATGCATGCATGCATGCATACATACAGACAAACATGCATGCATGCATCCATTGCATACGTTGCATGCATACATAC